TTTTTTTTTTTTTTTAAGATTTTATTTATTTGACAGAAAGAGACACAGCGAGAGAGGGAACACAAGCAGGGGGATGGGAGAGGGAGAAGCAGGCTTCCCGCCGAGCAGGGAGCCCAATGCGGGGCTGGATCCCAGGACCCTGGGATCATGACCTGAGCCGAAGGCAGACGCTTAACGACTGAGCCACCCAGGCGCCCCAGAGCACAAATCTTTTATTTGTTTTGACTCATGAGTCTTTGCTCTTTGTTCATTTCTGTGGTGTACTTAATTAAAATTAGATTGATTTTAATACTACCATGTTGTGAATTATATAGTACTCTTAATGTTCTTTAAAGCATTCAGGCATCATTTCTAAGCTGTGTATTTACTAATGACTTAGTATCTTTTTCTTTTTGCTAGTTTCCTCAAAGTGTGCTAAAAAATACCTTTTTTAAAAGCAGAAAATCTTATAGGTCAGAATGTTCCCAAGTAGAGAATAGGACATAATGCTACTGAACTTAAGGAAACAAGCTTGTTTAATCAGGATGTCAATATGCTAATAAAATTCTGTTGTTTTCAACACAGACTGAAATTATTGGTCCATCTATCAGTAATTCAGAGTAATTCTGTCAGACGGATTAAAGAAAAAAATTCTTTAACCCTGATTTTGTCAAATTTTAGCTCCATAAAAACAGCATTTAATTTAGAGGAAAGATTTATTATCTTAATTACTTAAACTTAAGATAATAAATTGGCATTATTAAGACTAATAGATTGCAGTTTTCAAATTGTAAAGAGGCTTGTCAGATATGCTTGGATTTTTCTTTCACATTTCTGTTTTTGTCAGTAAAAGTGTCTCTTTTTTTCCCCATGTACTTTAATACAAGCATTTCTTTCCAGCTACTCATAATTATTGATAGCTGGGGCCTGTCAGCTGCAAAGGAAAATACCCCTTTCAACTGCCAGAGTGGTTTTGTTTTTGTCTTTAATGTAAGCGTAATGATACACTTGATAAAACCCATTGCTGTTCCCTTAAATGCCTCTTGCATGTTTTTTCTTCTATCCCTTGGAATCCCTCACTTAATTTTATCTTATCAGGGGTGCCTGGGTGGCTAAGTCGGTTGAGCAATCTGCCTTCGGCCCAGGTCATGATCCCAGGGTCCTGGGATTGAGCCCCACATCGGGCTCCTTACTAAGTGGGGAATCTGCTTTTCCCTCTCCCTCTGCCTGCCTTTCCCCCTGCTTGTGCTCTCTGTCTCTGTCAAATAAATAAAATCTCTTTAAAAAATAAAAAAATAAACTTTATCTTATCAATAGCTACTTACTATTCAATATTCAGTTCAGAAAGCCCCTGTAGGAAGCCTTTGCTACCTGAACAGCCACAAGATCTGGTCCTCTAACTTGCAGTAGTCTCTCTGGCTCCATCTCTTGGCTCTTCACACTATTAGTTGTCCTTTAGTGCATTGATATTTTATCCCTATCTCGATTACAAGTGTTATGAAGATATTTACAGGGGCACCTGGGTGAATCAGTCGTTAAGTGTCTGCCTTCAGCTCAGGTCATGATCCTGGGGTCCTGGGATCCAGCCCCGCCTCAGGCTCCCTGCTCGGCGGAAAGCCTGCTTCTCCCTCTCCCACTCGCCCTGCTTGTGTTCCCTCTCGCTGTGTCTCTCTCTGTGTCAAATAAATAAATAAAATCTTTAAAAAAAAAAAAGATACTTACAATCATGTATCACTATCTTTTAGTTTCAAGTTGTTAGATGTTTAATACTAACATGTTTAATACTAACCTAGCTGACTTGCAGCTAGTAGGTACTTAAAAATTTAGTTTCTTTTCCTGCATATTGACCCTGCATAAGAAGAGGTAAGGCAGAGTACAAGGTATATGCAGATGATACTAAATTGTCTATGTTCAATCTTAATAAAGCTTGACTTTCCTCAAAGAAAATGTTTTCTAAAATCTGTGGGAATGTAGCAGGGGCAAAAAAGAAGGCTGAACTCATTGAAGGCAGGACTGTGTGCTAGAATCCATCAGAGCATTGTCATGTTAACTCAGAGTTAGTGACTTTTACGCAGGAGCCATGGCGTACTACCCCACAAGGCTGAAGACCAGACAAATTTATTCGTGGGTTGGCAAGCCGTTGTTGGATCAAAAACTACGCTACCACACCTACAAGTGAGTGATGGACTCTGTTGGTTGTCCTGGAAATAATAGCTTCTCCACACTAAATTGTTAATAACTTGTATCCAGCCTGTTCTAGTTACTACAGATTGAGAATTGAGGGACAATAAATATGAATGGATTATAAGGAGGGGTTTTATTTGATACAGGATGATAGCATAAATATAGCAGTGATAGAGGAAGACATGTCAAGTTAATAAAATTTCGTATGTATGATGATGCTGTATTTATTTAAAGTGGTTTCTTTGTATTTCTGCATGATAACAGGGTAGAATTCGCCATTGTTCCTATGTCCTCTCAGCCCTAGAGGTCTCTGAAAATTTTGATACTGTTATTGGGCAGCTTTCATGCTTTGGGAAGCCTTTGTTCTTTGTGAATAACCGAGAGAGATTAGGGTTCATTTTAAGGCCTCTGGATTAACCATTCACACTAAAACCATTCATTCAACCCATTTCATTTCTTCTTGCATATGACTTTATGGGTGAATTGGTTTCCTAGTAGGAGACTTGGTCATCAAAGAGAAACTATTTAGATTTTCCAGTTGGAAAGCACTTTCATTTGCCCAGAGGGTTTGAAGACCTTGGCCCACCCTAAGTGATTTCCTAACATGTTTCTCTCCTTCCTAGAGAAATGAGTGTCAAAATGGAAGGTGGTCTGACTGAGATTCGCATCCAAGTTGGACAGTTTGTGTTGATTGAAGGGGATGATGATGAAAATCCATATGTTGCTAAATTGGTTCAACTATTTGAAGATGGTAAGTTTGGGGCTGGAATGAAAACCATTTCTTATCATGAACAATTGGGAGCTGCAAGATTTCTGATTGCTGATTTCTCTGTTCAAAGCATCATATAGGGTGTGAGCCCTAGCTTCTGATGTGGGGTCATTTAAGCACTGGCTGAACCCTCTTACACCTAGTAAACTTCTTTACTCATTAGAGCAGTATTGGGTAAAAATGGCATTGGGGGGGTTCAAGAATTTAGCTTTGCCATTATTTTTAGGAGTGGGTTAAAATGGTCATTAAGGCAGGATTTTTGGAATGGACAAAGGATGAATTCAAGAAGAAGGGGGAAGAAAAAAATAGGTGATTTGCACTATCATACAGAGTTGTCTTAATTTTAGCATGAGGAAGTTGGGGGGGAAATAGGCGATTTGCACTATAATACAGACTTGTATTTGAGGTATGGGCCTTTGTGTATAGATTTTGGAGTCTGTGTGGTGCTCCATTGGATGGCTTCAGTCTTTCTCTGAAGAGAGCCGGGGAAGGGAAGAGGTGATGATGATGTTGGCACTAATGAGTGTATGTCCTTTCACTTGGACCTAATGCTGGTACGGAGTGATGTTAATGGTATATTGTAAAGATAAAGCTAAAAATTGCAAGCTTATGTTTGTCAGAAGTCACCTCAGTGGCTGATGCTCTAATTTTTGCCCGGATTTTGTTTTGCTGCTTTTTGGTGGCTGCTTTATAATCACTAATTTACAAGATGTGTTCAGTGCCTGTGATTAGAATTTCTCCTCTCAAATGCCTTTTGTAATTTCTTTGATGACTGATAGCCTCATTAGGAAGTGGAGCAAAGTGAGAAGGACATGGGTGCTGGGTGGCGTCAGATTGCTGCTGGTTGGTCCTGTGACCTTTGACAAATTTTGTAAGGTCCCTGTAACCTGATTACTTTGCCTGTAAAATGGAGATAGCTGTAGTACCTACCTTATAGGGTTAATGTGATGATTTAAAAATAGTATGTTAATCAAGTATTATCAAGTGCTTAGCACAGTGTCTGGCACATACGAAGTGCTTAACAAAATGATCTTTCATTTTCTTACACCTCCTTTTTTCACCTATCCCTCCTAGATTCTGAAGCTCCTTCTAAGAAACGTGCTCGAGTACAGTGGTTTATCCGATTCTGTGAAGTTCCTGTCAGTAAACGGTATTTGCTGGGCCGGAAGCCTGCTGCGCAGGAGATATTCTGGTATGATTACCCTTCCTGTAACAGCAACATTAGTGCTGAGACCATCATTGACCATGTGCAGGTAAGTGATGCCTTGATACTTGGGTTCTATTTTGAAGGTTATTTCTGGCTGCCTCCTAAACTGCTGACCTCAAAAACATTACTGGCTCTAATTTACCCCACGGAAATGAATTTTTTCCTGTTTGTCATCTTTTCTGCTTGCTGCCTACTTCATCTCAACAAATATTTATCAAGAGCACTTACCATGTGTTAGGAGCCTCCTGGAGGAAGTGACATTTAGGTTGTGACCCGAGGGATGAGCAGGAATTAGCAAATGAATCTCAGTGGGAAATTAATTATATTTAGCTGTGATTGTGGCAGGCACAAAACATTGTGAGGCTGGATACACTTGCTTAAATGAGGACTTCACCTTGAGTAGATCAGTACAAAGAGTGTTAGTTGCTAAGGGCAAACTTGTATTATGGGATTTTGTGATAAATCAGGTTCCAATGAACTGTAGGATGAATGGAGACACTGGTTTGGAGACCAAGATACGGGTTATTTCTTGAGCTACTTCAGGCCCCCAAAATAGGGGATTATATAATGATATGAAGTGTGGTCCCAAGTGTGGTTTAACAGTAGGCAGAGAGAGTTAGGTCTGGCATGACCAGTCAGATTTTTCCAGTTTATGAGCCCAGCATAACATATGCCTCAAAATAATTTGTCTCTGAGTTAAATGAGTGAAGGAGCAAAAGGCAGATATAGAGGTTGAAGGGTCAATTTAGAAAGCTAGAGAGGGAAGAGGGTATTCAGGCAGGAGCATGATAGGGGAGATGAGCAGGACTGTGACTAGCCAAGCTCAAAAAATGATGGAAGGCCATTTGGAAGAGTACTGAGCACTCAGGAAGTAAAGTGGGGCCAGATTTTAGAAGGCACCAAAAACCAGAGTAATAATCAGATCTTGCTGTAGCAAGGAGCCATTACAGACTTGAGCAGGGGAGCATGCTTAGAGAAGTTGTGGGGAAATTTGGTATGAGTGAATAGATTGGACTGGGAAAGAAAGCAACGTGGGGTATGGATATCATACCTCATAGCTAGGAGTCTGGAAATATGCCATGTCTGTGCCTCTTTAGTTTGGGAAGAGTGACATTCCAGGTAAGGATGCAGACGTAAATGCTTTTTTTTTTTTTTTTTTAAAGATTTTATTTATTTATTTGAGAGAAAGAGAACACATGAGAGGGGATAGGGTCAGAGGGTGAAGCAGACTCCCTGCTGAGCAGGGAGCCCGATGCGGGACTTGATCCGGGGACTCCAGGATCATGACCTGAGCCGAAGGCAGTCGCTTAACCAGCTGAGCCACCCAGGCACCCCAGACGTAAATGCTTTTTAATCATAGCTCTCATGAAGCATCCCTTGGCTCATTTGGTTCTCACTTCTTCCTATTCAGGTAGTAGCTTTAGGCCCAGATGAAGTGATACCTATGGATCCGAAAAATGAGAAGACACTCTTTGTGAAACTATCTTGGAATGAGAAGACATTCAGACCACTAGCCCCAGAACTCTTTGCAGAGTTTGATCAGCCACAAGAAGGCAGTCCTAGGTGCCAGAAGTCTGTGGAAGCCAAGACTAAGGGCCTAGGAAGCACTTCTTGGACCACAGCAGAGCATGCGGTCAAAAGGATTGAATCAAGGCACTCTACCTCCAAATCTCGCCGAACTCCTTCCCATCCTGTCACCCCAAAGGCAAAGAAGAGACTGGAGCTCAGTGGTATGTGTGAAATGGGTCACAGTGGGCAATATTGAGACTAAAGGAATATGATAAAATATTAACAGGTGCCATTGTATCGAGTTAGTGCCCCAGCAGGCCAGGTACTGAGCGGACACATGTTGAAATACACAGAACAGGGCGCCTGGGTGGCTCAGATGGTTAAGTGTCTGCTTTTGGCTCAGGTCATGATCCCAGGGTACTGGGATCGAGTCCCGCATGGGGCTCCCTGCTCAGCAGGAAGCCTGCTTCTCCCTCTGCTTCTCTCTCTGTCTCTTATGAATAAATAAATAAAATCTTTAAAAAAAAAAAAAGAAAGAAAAAAAAGAAATACACATAACATAAAATTTACCATTTTAGTCATTTTTAAGTGTACAATTAGGTGGCATTAAATACATTCACATTTTTGTACAGCCATCCCCATCATCTTCTGAAACGGAAACTCTGCAACCATTAGACCGTAGCTTCCCATCTCTCCATCCGCCATTCCTGGGCCACCACCACCATTCCGTTTTCCTGAATTTGACTACTCTAGATACCTCATTTAAGTGGAATGATTATAACATCATATTAGTTTCAGGTATACTATATAATAAGTTGTTGACATCTGTCACCATACATAGTTACAAATATTTTTTTCTTGAGGTGAGAACTTTTAGGATTTACTCTCTAACCAACTTTCAGATATTCAATAATAGTATTCTTAACTATAGTTGCCATTATAACTCCATGCACACTATATCGTCATGACTTATTTCGTAACTGGGAGTTAGTATATTTTGACTGCCTTCATCCACTTCACTGACCCCCTGACTGGAGATCACCTATCTGTTCTCTGTATCTATGAGCTTGTTTTTTGTTTGTTTGTTTGTTTGTTTTTTTATTTAGATTCTAGGGACGCTTGGTTGGCTCAGTTGGTTAAGCGTCTGCCTTCGGCTCGGGTCATGATCTCAGCATCCTGGGATCGAGTTTTGCACTGGGCTCCTTGCTCAGCGGGGAATCTGCTTCTCCCTCTGCCTGCCGCACCCCGTGCTTGTGCCCTCTCTCTCACTGACAAATAAAATCTTTTTTTTTTTTTTTAAGATTTTATTTATTTATTTGACAGAGGGAACACAAGCAGGGGGAGTGGGAGAGGTTGAGAAGCAGGCTCAACCTGCTTTTTTTCCATATCCTCACCAACACTTGTCTTTTTGATAATAGCCATTCTGATAAGTGTAAGTTGTTATTTCGTGGTGGTTTTGATTTGCATTTCCCTGATTATTAGTGACACTGAGCATCTTTTCATGTACCTGTTGACCATCTGTATGTCTTTGGGAAAATGTTTATTCAGATCTTTGGCCCATTTTTTAATCAGCTTGTTTAGTTTTTTGCTATCGAATTGTGTGAGTTCTTTATATATTTTGGATATTAACCCCTTATCAGATAAATGATTCTTAATATTTTCTCCCGCTTAGTAGGTTGCCTTTTCATTTTGTTGATGGTTTCCCCTGTTGTGCAGAAACTTTTTAGTTTGAGGGGTGCCTGGGTGGCTCAGT